GTAAAGATTTCACCCATTTGAGCTGGGTGTGGTGGCACACACCTGTAATCCCAGCACTTGGGAGGCTGAGGCAGGAGAATCATTGGAAGTTCGAGACCAGCCTGGACTACAAAGTAAGCTCAAGGCCAGCCTGAACTGCATAGCGAGACCCTGTCTAAAAAAGACAAAAGGAAAAAAAAAAAAGATTTCACCCATTTGAAACCTTCTTATTTAATGATTATTAGAATAACTGAATGCTTTACTGCATTGGTTACACAGATAGGGTATTTGAGAGTATGGAATCATTTGTATGTAATTGAAGGAAACTATTACGCATGAATGATTAACCACATTGCTTATATTTATATGGTTTCTCCCCAGTGTGGCTTCTTTCCTGCATTTGAATGGTATGAGAATTAGAAAAGGCTTTACATCATTCCTTACCTATATAGGGTTTCACAGCAGTGTGAGTCCTTTCATGAATGGAAAGACATTTGGAAAATTTGAAAGCTTTCCCACATTGCCTGTATTGATAAGGTGTCCCTCCAGTATGAATTCTTCCATGTACTTTAATGTAATTGGAACAGGTGAAACCTTTCCCTCATTATTTACGTTTACAAGCTTTCTCACCAGTGTGAATTCTTGATGTACATGAGGAGCACCTGATCACCCACCCAAAGGCCTTCCCTTATTCTTTACATTCATAAAGTTTCTCTCCAGTGTAAATTCTTCTATTCATTTGAAGGGAAGTTCAGCATAAGAATACTTTCCCACACTGTCACACACATAAGGTTTCTCACTAGTGTGAGTTTTTTCTTGTACCCGAAGTTTGCTAGGCCTCATGAAGGCTTTCCCATATTGCTCACACACACAGCATTCTGCAAAATGAATTTGTTCATGTTTTCGAAGGGTACTGAAAGAACTAAAGATTTTCAAATACGTTATGCATATACAAGTTACCTCCTGCCTTGTATGAATCATTCTGTGATTTAAAAGAGAACTAGAATATGTGAAAGCTTTCCCTCATTGCGTACATTCATAGGGTTTTACCGGGTATGGTGGCGCACGTCTGTAATCTCAGCACTTGGGAGGGTGAGGCAGGAGGATCATTGCAAGTTCAAGACCAGCCTTGGCTACAAAGTGAGCTGAAGGCCAGCCTGAACTACATAGCGAGACCCTGTCTCAAAAAAAAAAAATTTTTTTTTCATAGAGTTTCTCTCGTGTATGACATTTCAAGCTTCTCAAAGCACTTGGGCTAAGGGTTTTCCACGTCCCTTAGGTTTACTTGGTGTCTCTCCATATTCCTGATTCTCATACAGTTTGTGTCCACTCTAAGCCCTGAGGGACACAATTTTGTTTTTATGTTTTTTGTTTTTTGGTACTGGGAATTGAACTCATGACCTCTCGCTTGCCAGGCAGGTGAGGGACACAATTTTAGATAAATGGCCAATGAGGACTTCTCCATACACATGGCTTTCACATGGTTGTAGTCCATTTTTCTTTTCTTTTTGTTTTGTTTTGTTTGTCTTTTTGAGACAGGGTCTCACTTTGCACTTTAGGCTGGCCTTGAGCTCACTTTGTAGCCCAGGCTGGCCTCGAACTAGCAATGATACTCCTCCCTCAGCCTCCTGAGTGCTGAGATTACAGGCATGTGCTACCATGCCTGGCAAATTTTCTTGTTTAAAGCATGATTTAGAGCCTGCATATCTGGAGAGCTGATGATTTTTCTGCACTATCTTCTTTTTCTTTATGTTCACGCCCCACAATGACTTCTGTAACATAGAAGCAGCACATTACAGCACATTGCACTGGTTTATTTTTTTATTTTTTTTTTTTTGCACTGGTTTATTAATTAACATGTGTGAGTACTGTAAGTACATGTTAACTAACCATGTGAGGAAAAGTGGAGGATTTATATCCAGTATAAACCATATTAAAAAAACTCCAAATGCTGAGCACCATGGCTAATATAGCTACTTTCAAAACAGTGAAAGTTACCTGGGGTTTTCTTTTTCTGTTTGTTTGGTTTTTGGTTACAGGAATCAAACTAGGTCCGTGTGCTTGCCAGGGAGGCGCTTGTGCAGCTGAGCTATATCCCCGACCCTGGTTTTTTTTTGAGACGGGGTCTCACTACAAGTTCAGGCTGACCTCATATTTGCAAAGATCATCGTTCCTTAGATTCTTGAATGCTGGTATTACAGGTGTGCAGAACCACGCCCATTTACATGAATTTTCCTAAAACTATCTACAAGTATTTGGCAAACACTGAACATGCAAGTCACATTTCAGTACAGGTTGAGTACTCGTTACCTAACATTCTTTGTTTTTGTTTTTTTTGTTGTTGTTATTTTTGTTTTTGTCTTTTTGAGAGAAGGTCTCGCTATGCAGTTCAGGATGGCCTTGAGCTCACTTTGTAGTCCAGGCTGGTCTCGAACTCTCAGTGATCCTCCTGCCTCAGCCTCCCAAATGCTGGGATTACAGGCATGCATCACCACGCCTGGCTGTTGAGCCAGTCTTATAAACATATATTTTCAATGTTGCAACATTTATATGTATATATTTAATAGCCAAATCACAAAGGTAATTCTATACATATTAATGTTTTACCATGTAACAGAAGTTGTATACATTAAACCATCAAAAAGAGTGAGTTCCAGCACAACATTATGGCTCAAGAAGTTTAAGATATCAAAGCAATTAGTCTTTAAGAAAATTTTCTGACAGAAAAGTTTTCTGAAGCAAGGATTGTTTTGTTTTCTTTAAATACTTGCTGTCATGCCAAATTTTATAAGGAACAGTACTTTGCCTTTGAGTGCAAATTACCATAAATTTCTGCCAGGATTTGGTGGCTGACACCTGTAATCCCAGCATTTGGCAGACTGAGCCAGGAGGATTGGCATGGGTTTGAGGCCAGCCTGGACTACATAGTGAAACCATGTGCCAAAAATACAAAACAAGGGGCTGGGGATTTAGCTCAGCGGCAAAGCACTTGCCTGGCAAGCAGAAGGTCGTGAGTTCAATTCCTAGTACCGGAAGAAAAACAACAAAAACAAAACACAAACAAACAAAAATACAAAACAACAACAAAAATAAATTTGTGGCCCTAATTGTTAGTCTTACTTTTGTTTGTTTTAAATTCCTAGTCTTGGGGTTGGGGATTTAGCTCAGTGGCACAGCCCCTGCCTGGCAAGTGCCAGGTTGTGAGTTTGATTCCCGGTACTGGAAAAAAACAAACAAACAAAAAATAAATTACTAGTCTTACCCAATAGAAAGCTTTGATATCTGACAGATGGAGAAGCTACACTAATGGGGATCCTGGGGAGAAGGACAGAGAGAGGGCCTGGTAGGCTTCCATGAGAGATTCTTCTAGTGTCATTTCAGATGGAGTAGCCTCAGGAGAGGTATTGAAGGGCATCTTAGTTACTTTTCTTATTCCTGAGACAAAGTACCCAACACCCACAAGTTAAGAAGGAAAAGTTTATGTAGCTCACAATTTGGAGAGGTTTCAGTCCACCGTCAGCTGGCTCCTACGTAGGGTGACCTGGCAGACAGGCATTGCAGAGGAGAAACAACAGTTCATGGTGGGCAGAAGGTAGCAAAGCAAGCAAGGGACAAGACAAGCCTTTTTCTGTCCCTTATATTGTATCCAGACTACTGGGATTTGGGCAGTGCCAAGCCAATCAGTGGATTGATTTAGTAATCACCCATCTTTAATCCTACTACCCTTAATCCTAGCATTGTACCAAGAATCAATGACACAGTCTAGATTCAGTCACCTCTGAAAATGCCCCACCTGTGACCTTTGGGGGAACATCTAGACACAAGCCATAACAAAAGACAATGGCCTCTACCTTGGAGTGGTAAGTTAAACAGAATTAGACAAGAGGACCTACTCACAGCACTGGGCATCCTGAACGTAACCAACTCATGGAACAAATGTACTATTACTTGGTACATGAAAGTGATGTTTGGACTAAATTAACTGGTAGCAAGGGTATTTGTGTATTGAGTTCTTCTGATTGCCAGTAAAGTAAGGAAATTGAGAGAGACCAGGTAGTGTTAGAGGAGAATCTGGCCAAGAGTAGAAGGAGGAGCAGTCTGTAGA